AGAGGAGGTGCCCTGCGAGCCGCGTCAACAGAGTCGCCATCTTCAGACAAGCCAGCAGTGACCCCAGGTGAGAAGCAAGAAGGCAAATTCACAGACTGGGCACCACAAGACAGAGGGTGGGGGAGACCTCGGGAGCGAAGGGAGGATGCAAGGAGGGGCAGCACAGGAAGGGCAGTGGCAGCTCCAGGGACTCTGCCATCCACAGTGCAGCAGGAGAGCCAGGATTCAGAGGCAGGTCTACTTACCAGCAGGGTGCCCTGTCCACTGGCGTGGGGGACACGCATGTTGTAATAGATACAGTGTTGTGTGGCGGGGGGGAGTCCCTCAGCTGAACAAACTCGAGTAGCCAACCCCCCTCCCCACACTTGTTTCAGGCAGGTCCCCATTGCTATCTTTAGCCAGGACTGGGACCTGGCCTTGACCAAGTGTGAGGAAGGGATTGGTGGCAGCCCAAAGTGCCCCGGCACCCTAATTTAGTGTTCAGAAGAACATACACCCTCATCATTGGTGGCAGGAACCTGTCATCTCACCTGCTTCGACATAGTGAGCACGCTCCTGCATGTCCACCAAGCTGACCCTGCACACCAGGTCAGACACCACCACCTCCCCCCACCTGCACCGTGGGAAGGGCTCTCACAATACCAGACTAGTGACCACTGGCACTCCCCTCACCTGCCCTGATACATGAAAGGGGCTTCAAAACATTTGTGGGAAAATAAAATTAAAAGGTATTGGATTTTTTCCACCGAGTTTTGAAGCCCCATTCATATCAAACACAAAACAATTAGGAGAGCCAAACATACCATCAGTCAGTAATACCTTAGCGTCTCAAAGAGAACAATGTTACGTTCTCTTAAGAAGCAGGATCTAGGGCCCAAGTAAGTGACCGAGAGAAAGGAGCAGAACCCTTCTGAGGAACAGACGGTGATGGCACTAGCTGAGGAATTAAAGAGACATCCGTAGGCTCTTCAGAGAGATCAAGGAAGAAGGAATTAAAGAGACATCCGTAAGCTCTTCAGAGAGATCAGGAAAACAGACAGAGGCAGGGAAACACAAATAAAACTACATTGTTTCAGAGAAACAGAACACAATGGCAAAATTAACAGATCACTGGAAACGATGCAAAAAGTCACGGCAAAAATCCAGAAGATTAATAAAATATCAGAAATCGATAACTCAACTGAAAGACAAAAACAGAATTAAATCAATGTAGAAAAGAACCAGCTAAATAGGGGACAAATCCCAAGATACTAACTTGTTTGAAGAACAATCAGAAAAAGAATGAAGAAAATTACGGAAGCCTAAGGAGGAGGAATTTACCAGGGGAACAAAAAATAAAAAAGGACTCCCCCCCCCAAAGCTATGTACTTTAAAGTTTTTACAGAACAACCTTATCCCCTTCAAAGTAGTCTGCATTATGATCAGTACATCTGTTGAATCTGTGATTGCATTCTTGGAAACAGTTTTCAAACACATCTGTCTGGATGGCTGATGGGCTCCTCCCTCGTTTTCTTCGCCTCTTCTATGTACTCAAATCGCTGTCCTTTTATGTTCCTCTTCATTCGTGGAAAAAAAAGAAGTTGCACGGAGTGCGGTCAGGTGAGTAGGGTATGTGGTGCAAGAGGCATGCTGGTTTTATGCCAAAAACTGGCACACAGATAGCTACGTGAGCAGGAGCATTGTCATGGAGGCAAAACCAATCCCCCGTCTGCCACAAATCATGTCTTTTCTGTCACACACCATTAGGTTATCTTTTCAGAACCTCTAAACAGAAAGCTTGATTAACAGTGTGACCTGATGGAATGAACTCCAAATGCACTCTGATTTGACGTTTTCATACGATTTGGGAAGTTGCCAGATGTCCGAAACTAGGTTTATCGTCAATCGATGTGTTACCTTTTTTGAAAGGAGAAAACCATTCGTACACGTAAGTTTTCCACATAGGACCGTCCTTGTCACTTGTGTTCAACATCACAACAGTTTCTGCAACATTTTTCCTGAGCAGGAAACAAAATTTCATGGTCCCACGCTGTTCTCTTAAATCAGCCATCACAAAAAAATAAGGTTCGAGAACCTTCCTAGGCGACTCCACTGGGTGCACTAACTTAGAGTGAGTTGGTCAATGCTTACTACTGAAGCTCCCCTCCGCCCAGCACAACTCGGTTGGGGGGCGGGTACCCCCTCGTATATTTGATTTCAATTCTAGAACAGGAGGATGCAAAAACAATACACAAATTTTGAAGATTTGCTGGCAAAAAGCTTCTTTAATGAAGAAGAGGTTTCCACACCAGAAGCTAAGCGAACCCCAGGCAAGATAAGCTTGGAAAGAACGTCACCAAGACACGTCACAATCAGACTTGCCTAAGCCAAAGGCAAAGAGAATTGTAAAAGCCGCTCAGGAAAAACAAAGTATCACAAAAAAGGGGCACCAGAAAGGCAACTATGATCTCTCACCAGAAACCATGCAGACAAGAAGGCAACAGGTGTCACAGCTGCACAGTCCTGGAAGAGAAGGGCCACCAACTGTGACGGTTAAGGCTTGTGTCCACTTAGCTGGACCATGAATCTCAAAGGTTTGGCAGTTACAATGCAGTCATCCCCCAGAATGAGGGCTGACACAAGGTAATCACCTCTGTGATGATACATGTTATGACCTGCCAGTCAATCGAAAGGCTGTTTCCTTGACGTGCAGCCTGCTTCCAGTTTATACATAGACTCTCTGGCAAAGCAGAATTGCTTTTTAGTGGGATCTGGACCCTGCATCTGGCTCACCATCTGACCTCTAGTTCTTTGGACGTGACTCAGTTTATACCCACTCAACCCCTTGAGTGAAGGCAAGGTTGAGTCCACTGGGGTAAAAGTCCACTATACTGCCAAAAGTCATACTAATTTTTCTCCCAACGTTCCCCAAGGGCCCCAATGCCTTTGATGAGGTGTGTTCACCAGGGTTCTCTAGAGAAACTAAGCCAATGACACTTATGATTGTATATATATATATAACAGGGAATATAACAGCTAATTAGTCCATGCCGCAGTACTGAGGGCTCAGTTCAACTTACTTCTGTGGAAGAGTTAATATACTGGAAGTCCTTTAACTCACGAGGGCTGCTGGGTACAAGGTCAAGGAGGCAGACAGCTGAGTCTTCCCTAGATCAATGCAGGCAGTCCAGCCACAGGCAGCAAACAGCAGGGCGGGTCACCAACGGTCAACCAGACAACAGGATCTCAAGCGCTGTATGCACTAGAAACTTGGCGAAGCAGGTCTCAAAGGAACCTCAGGCTCCACGGACATGATTCATGGGTTGGGTGTCCCACAGGTAGTGTAGCTCACACGTTGAGGCGTTCTGTCTC